TACCCTCCCTGAACCCATGATGGCGATTTGTCACGAAGTCCCTTCTCTCCAGATGTGTTACTAGACTTTTTCTCACGATCTTCTCCATCACTTTGCATGGTATACAAGTTAAGGACACTGGCCTGTAGTTCAGTGCCTCTTGTCTGTCACCCTTTTTGTATATTGGGACCACATTAGCTGCCTTCCATATTTCTGGTAGGTCTCCCGTCTCCAGTGACCTACTATACACTATGGAGAGTGGCAAGCAAAGTGCCTCTGCACAGTCTTTCAATACCCATGGTGAGATCCCGTCTGGACCAACAGCCTTTCTCACATCCAGATCCAACAGGTGTCTCTTGACTTCATCTCTCGTAATTTCGAACCCTTCCAAGGCCGCCTGGTTTACTGCCCCCTCTCCTAGCGCAGTGACCTCACCATGTTCTATTGTGAAGACCTCCTGGAACCTCTTGTTGAGTTCCTCACACACCTCTTTGTCATTCCCTGTATACCTGTCCTCGCCTGTTTCTAAGTTTCATTACCTGTTCTTTCACTGTTGTTTTCCTCCTGATGTGACTGTGGAGTAGCTTTGGATAGGTCTTGGCTTTGCTTGCTATATCATTTTCATAATTTTTCTCTGCTTCCTTTTTCACACTAACATACTCATTCCTGGTTCTCTGGTATCTCTCTCTCTACTTTCTGCTGTTCTGTTATTTCGGAAGTTCCTCCACGCCCTTTTGTTCAGTACCTTTGCTTCATTCCCTGTTAAACCACGGATTTTTCTTTTGCTTCTCGGATTTTTCCCTTTGGGCCGGGATAAATCTGTTTACTGCCTCCTGACACTTTTCGGTGACATAGTCCATCATGTCTTGTACCGACTTATCTCTGAGGTCTGTGTCCCGTGGTATATCCCTTAGGAAACTTCTCATCCCCTCATAATTCCCCTTTCGATATGCCAGCCTTTTGTTTTCTAGTTCTTTTTTGGGGGGAGATAAGTCCTAGTTCTACCAAGCACTCGAAGATCAATACACTGTGATCACTCATTCCTAAGGGTGCTTCCATCTTAACGTCCCTTATATCCCACTCATTAAGGGCAAATATCAGATCAAGCATAGCTGGTTCATCCTCCCCTCTCATTCTTGTCGGTCCCTTGATATGCTGGCTTAGAACGTTTCTTGTTGCCGCATCCAGCAGCTTAGCTCTCCATGTATCTGGTCCTCCATGTCTGTCTCTGTTCTCCCAATCAATCTTCCCGTGATTGAAATCCCCCATAATTAGTAGTCCACATCCATTCCTACTAGCGAGAGACGCTGTTCTCTCTATTATGTTGATGGTGGCCATGTTGTTTCTATCATATTCCTGTCTGGGTCTTATGTCATTTGGTGGCGGATTATATATGACTGTGACTACAATTTTTTGTCCTCCAGTTGCTATTGTAACTATTATATATTCACTGAAACCTTCACAGTCCTGAATAATAATAGCCCTGTGTGTGTGTGTGTGTGTGTGTGTGTGTGTGTGTGTGTGTGTGTGTGTGTGTGTGTGTGTGTGTGTGTGTGTGTGGGTGGGTGGGAGAGAGAAGAGAAGTATAATACATAAACGAGTGTAAGGGAGGGTGGTGGACAGTAGAAGAGACAAAGGGAGGAGTGAAGGAGAGTAAGGGAGAGTGATGGAGGCGCAAGAGTAGGGGAGGAGAGATAAGGGTGGAGGTAAAGTGTAGGAAAGGGGGCAGGGCCGGATGCCAGGGTGTGATAACCCTAACGGCTTCTCAGTGACCATCTCCACCCTTAGTGGCGACACTCCCTGATAGTGTGTCACCACTGTGTCTCCAGGGCCACCCAGGGCCACTCAGGGCCACTCAGGGTCACCCAGGGCCACTCAGAACCACCAGGGCCACCCATCTCTACGGCCACGCATAGTGGCCATAAAGTCAAGGTCCACTCAGGGACATCTTGTGTCCAGAGTCACCTGTGTCACCAGGGGCTACCTAAATCAAGGGCCACTTTGTGTCTATGGCCACTTTCTGTATCCACGACAACCTATGGCTACTTCTTTGTCCAAGGCCACTTTTGTCTTCAGGGCCACCTATATCTATAGCCACCCAGGGCCTCCCCTGTCTCCAGGGCCACCTAAAGTCTCCTTTGCCCAGGGGCCCCCCAGAGCCATCTGAATTCAGGGCCATCTTCTGTGTCCTATGCCAATCGGGGCCACCTTCTGATGGACGCAGGTGATACTCAATGTGCAGTAAGATGGCAGCTTGAAAGATCACAGCTCTTGAACATAATACACAGTGCTTTTCCAAACAGATCAAAGCACAGAAATATGTACATTGGTATTATTGAGAGTCAATGCCATCCAGAAATCCATTTATCATCAGTTAAAATCTGTGACAGGAAAACTATTTCGTAAGTTCCTTTCATTTGTCACAAATTTCTCTTTTGCCTGTTCTTTATTGCCCTAATTATCTCATCTGTTTTTTTTCCTGTTATGTATTGCCATTATTCTCTCTTCTATTTGAAAATACTGCTTAGAAATCCTCACAAACACAGTTCCAAACACCATCGTGCTTGAGGATTTCAACCTGCGGTACCGTCAATGGAAGAACGTGGCAAATACAGTTAAATCTTAAAGAATGCCAAAAATGAACTAAATGAACAGTCACACACAAATGACGGACATAGACATGAACGTAAACAAGAATACAAGAAAAGAGAAAACAAGAATAAGAAAAGAAAACAAGAATACTGTAATCATTCTTTGCAGATTACACTCGGATTGTTATGAGCGTAGAGAAAATATAGAGGACACAACAGCCTGCTTGATCAGTCCGGCAACCAGGAGGCCTGGTCGACGACCGGGCCGCGGGGACGCTAAGCCCCGGAAGCACCTCAAGCTAAGGTAACCCTCCAAATTGGTGTAAATCCAGCCTGTCCTCCTAATGTTTCCCAACGGCAAGAAAACAGTCAATTTCAAGTGTCGTATAAAAGCGACCAGAGGACCCAAAACATAAAACGGGACAGTACGTCCCTTTCGCCAGCCGCTTCCACTTTTTGGTACAACAATTTTTGGCTTAGTGTAACGAATACGATCAAAATGCGACGGTGTTTGTAGGAGGACGGCTTGGTAAATCACGTTTTTTCAATGAACCACAGAAAATAATGTCCGTAGATTGACCAGACCACACACTAGAAATTGAAGGGACGACGACGTTTCGGTCCGTCCTGGACCATTCTCAAGTCGATTGTTTCTTGATTCTTGATTCTCAAGACAATCGACTTGAGAATGGTCCAGGACGGACCGAAACGTCGTCGTCCCTTCAATTTCTAGTGTGTGGTCTGGTCAACATACTTCAGCCACGTTATTGTGACTCATCGCCTGCATAATGTCCGTAATGAAGATAAGTTACAGCTCCTGCACTATGGAAAAACGAATATATATATAAACGGAAACTACTATATAAATCGTAGTGAAATCACATTGTAAACAAAAAAGTAATATAATAGATTTGAGAGTAATATGGGAAGAGCTTATATTTAAAGAATACAATAAAGTAGCTGTCACAACTGCAAGAAAATAATAGGTGGGATAACGAGAACCTTTCAGACAAGAGAAGTCACACCAATGGTGATACTCTCCAAGGCGGCACCTTATGAAGGTGCCTTCTGAAGGCCCATCTTACGACGTGATGGTCCATCTTGAGACGTGAAGGTTCCTCTTCCTTCGACATCTACACCACAACTACACAGCACACCACTCCACACACAACACAAGGCCCACACCACACAACACACCACTCCACACACAACACAAGGCCCACACCACACAGCACACCACTCCACACACAACACAAGGCCCACACCACACAACACACCACTCCACACACAACACAAGGCCTACACCACTCCACACACAACACAAGGCCTACACCACTCCACACACAACACAAGGCCCACACCACACAACACACCACTCCACACACAACACAAGGCCCACACCACACAGCACACCACTCCACACACAACACAAGGCCTACACCACTCCACACACAACACAAGGCCTACACCACTCCACACACAACACAAGGCCCACACCACACAACACACCACTCCACACACAACACAAGGCCCACACCACACAACACACCACTCCACACACAACACAAGGCCTACACCACTCCACACACAACACAAGGCCTACACCACTCCACACACAACACAAGGCCCACACCACACAACACACCACTCCACACACAACACAAGGCCTACACCACTCCACACACAACACAAGGCCTACACCACTCCACACACAACACAAGACCCACACCACACAACACACCACTCCACACACAACACAAGGCCCACACCACACAACACACCACTCCACACACAACACAAGGCCCACACCACACAACACACCACTCCACACACAACACAGGGCCTACACCACTCCACACACAACACAAGGCCTACACCACTCCACACACAACACAAGACCCACACCACACAACACACCACTCCACACACAACACAAGGCCCACACCACACAACACACCACTCCACACACAACACAGGTCCTACACCACTCCACACACAACACAAGGCCCTACACCACTCCACACACAACACAAGACCCACACCACACAACACACCACTCCACACACACACAAGGCCCACACCACACAACACACCACTCCACACACAACACAATGCCCACACCACACAACACACCACTCCACACACAACACAAGGCCCACACCACACAACACACCACTCCACACACAACACAAGGCCCACACCACACAACACACCACTCCACACACAACACAAGGCCCACACCACACAACACACACCTCCACACACACAATAAACTTCAGAAGTCACAATACACAAAAATTCCAGAAGGATCAGACTTCCCTCTAGCATGGTGACCCAGGCAGTATTCGATGGACAACCTGCCCCTGGTCGGAAACCGTCCAACACACACACACACACACACACACACACACACACACACAGACACACACACACACACGACACCACGGCCGCTGTGCACAAGAGAACCAAAGTAAACAAAAAGCAACACACAATCAAAATATTCTGCAGTATATTAACAGGCCTACAATGGTTCCATCATAGCGGTATTGAGTCGTGGACCATGGCAGACACACAATAACAGAGGGGGAACCTGACCAAGTGTTATGACTATAGTCTGCTATATGCAGAGCTTGAGCCAGTCTCCGTGTCCAATTGTCATTCCGTGCTTAAATATTATATATAAGAATGCATTACTGTTGAAGGAACCTAATATCATGTAAATTGATGGGTAAATTGTGAGCGAAGCACAGGTGGCTTTCAGGAGCCGGCGACGCTGAGGGAGGCAACATGCGCCAGCACAAAGCAAACAGGAGTGAATGTACAGCCAAAGAGTTGCCGAGGGCAGTGACATGGACACATGGTAAACAGGAAAGTACAGCCAGCCATGGTCACAGGAAGACACCCGGTAATTGTTACCAGATGAAGCACAAAGAAGTGCACCAGCACGTGACTACTGTTTACACATCGGACAAAATGTACAAAATCTGACAGATCAACTAACCTTCATCGCCGTCAGATTTGTAGCCGGAGCTTTCCTTCCTTCGTCGTGATCCCTGCTTTCTCACACTCTTGATGCGTTGGAAAGTCCTAGACGGCAGACTCTTGGAGCCCTTCTCCTTAGTGCTTCCACGGAACAGCCGGTCCCGGAAGGACAGGGAATCTTTATCCCTCTTAGTATCTGCATCGCTGATGGTCCTCCGCGCCTTGTTAACAGTTAAGTCCTTTGGGGAAAAGTTTCCATAGTCGCTGATGCTCCTTCGCAGTCCTGCTCGATTTCGGGCCTGAGCCAAGTCTTCAGAGCTACGCTGTTTGTACACCTGCGATGCCCCTTTCGCCTCCTGGCTTTTCCGCTTGCTTCTGTTGTCCAGAGTGAGAGACTTCTTGGACCTCTCGGTGACAGGACTCAATAGGCATGGCGGCATCAGGAAGGACTTAGTGGAGGAGTCACTGTCTGGAGATAATGGTGAGGTAGGTGTTAGCGGACTCTCTAGGGTTTCTGAAGAATAGTGATTACGCAGCAAGACGGGGAATACTGAAGTGGTATTTTGGGTGTCAGAACTCTGATGCACTGGGGTTGAAGCAGCAAACTTTTCCGGGGTGCCAGGAGCTGAAATATCACTAGTGTAGGGAGTACCAGGTGCTGAGGGACCACTTGGGTCACTATTCTGCACCATGCCGGCTCTCTTCCTGGCATCCCGCTTCCTTCTGGGAGGTGGCACAGGCGGGCGCTCAACTGGAGACGGCAAGCCATCAGTACAAGTAGCTATGAGAGCTTGTGTGGCCAAACTGAGCTTTATGTCCTGACGCTTCCTGGGCAGGTCGGTGGAGGGCAAGGCATTAACATTTTTCACAGCGATCGAATTCACTGTGCCCTCTTCGAAGACTGGTTCAGTGTCTTCAGCAGTAACGTCAGCCAAAGGAGGTATGTTTTCTTTGGAGGTGTCACTAAGGCGAGGTAAAGAATAATAAAATGCACTTTTTGTTTGCGGTTCCAGCTTCCTCTTTAACTCGGACGTACGTGACGCCGATTCTTCTTGCATCGCAAAAAGGGACTTTCTCCTCTCCCGAAGTCGGTTTTCCTTGTCCAGCCATCGCGTGTCTGTTCTCATGTGCACACCCAGCCTCTCGGCATCTTCCTTGCGGAGGTATTCCCGCAAGAGGAATGGCGCAAAATCCTCCTCGTCGCCTGAAGTAGAGCAGAGCCGCAGACTGCTCCTCGTCTTGGTGACGACGCCCACTTCGTCGTCGGTGCGGTACCTGGCAATTGACTCCGGGCGGGGTACGGCAGGCAAGTCCTCCACCCCGAGGTTAATGGTGAACCGCTTAGAGTCGTCGCAGCGACCAGCTTCATCAGACCGTCGAGATTCACAGTTCCTAAGCGTCACACACTCCTCTGCAGAACACAAACAATAAGACACACATCATTACAAGCTCCACCTACAAACCCAAAGTTTATCATTGAATATAACAACAATATAGGAATATAAGAAACAAGTTACGAGAACTACCAACCTTCCTCCTTGGCGGCAGAGAGGCTAGCCACCCCTCCAAAGTCGGAACGGGCCTTGTTTTTGCGCCTGATAATGGACTGCCAGGCTCGCTTGGCCATCCTCGGAAGTCTTGTCTCCTCGACTCTTGGACTTGCCCCGTTGGTGTGACGCCACGACCCCCTGATGTATGAGGCCGGCTGCTACCCTGGTGTGCCGAGGCTGGTGCAAGCTCACTCCTCGCCCTCACAACCTCACTTTCTGGCCTTCAGTCTTGTTCTCGGTACAAGACAAATGGCTTCTCAAGGATAATTTTCAAAGTTCCTGAAATGATCTCGTTGCTTCGGTTGCCGGAGATCGCCAGTTAGAATTGTGATTTATTACGTTCTTTTGATGTGATTTGGATATACCATTTGATAAATTATATTATTCAAGATTAATACGGCATAAACTCACGAATTATTCTGAATTTATCCAATGCTGACACAAACACACACACACACAGGCAGGTCCAGCTACGAGCTGTGAACCACGAGGCGAATTTTCAGCAACAATTTTTTCACATATTACTGCCCCACATTTCCCCCTCATACGATGCCAAAAATCACTGTACACCATAGAGACGTGGTCGCACAGGTACACCTAAACAACCCCAGCACCGAAATACTAATAAAACAAAACGGAAAACTCATTATAGAAGTCACTTAAATGTTTAATGACAGACCACGATGATTAATAACAAGGAGTCCAAGAGCGGAGACGAGGTACTGAAGGAGTTAAGTCCTGCCCCCCAAACATCTGGTCCCATCAAGGGTCACCTTCGGGGCTTGTCTCCAGCACCTGTCTGACGGAGAGAGACCGACGGGCACACACACTCCCCAAGACCTACTGGGCTAATCTGGATTTATGGAAACAGCTTTAAAGTCACAACATTCGAACGCGTGCAATGATTTAACAACTGCAAAACATTTCGTTGGTGTGGTAGGCTTTCCATGAGCCGTCGAAGCCCGAGGAGGGGAACAATGCTGATGAAGACGCTCGCAGCGCCATCGAAGGAGGAACCAGGGATGAGGGGTAAATGCACAAAAGGTGGAAAATATTGCTGGGTAAACAGAGCGAGCAAGGATCCGGACACACTGGGCAGGAAATGTCGTATCCCCTTATGAGAGATAGTGTTTTAGTATACA